ACAATGGTTTTTTAGACAAAAGAAGTCAACTGGAAAAATTGTTGGGTGGAGGGGGGGAGGGAAGTATATTAAAGGACTGACGTATTAGTTAGCTTTTGCCAACTTCACCCCCCAAACAAATGTAATTTAACCGAATGAAGGTTTCTGGCACTAGTTGGGTATCCAAACAGTTCCCCTGTTCACCTGTTTTAGAGTGAAATTATCTGGGGGCAGGAGGAACACAGAGCAATTACACAATAAGTTGTCTACATTACAAAAAGTAAAATTCTCCAAACAAACCCAAACTCACTTCAGATAAAAGCCCACAACAGGCTGTTTAGACAAATTATGCTTTAAATATACTGATCTGAAAAAGAAAAAAATCTAAAGAACAGGCTGTTCTGTAGAACAGCTCGAGTTTCTGCTTGTGCTTTCATTTTAGAAAACAAATGCTCAGCCTTCACAGTGGGAGGAGTTTCACACACGGATTCAAAGTCACAGAAAATGGCCACCAGTTCTAGAAGCCTGAACACAACAAACAGGGCACTCAAGGGACCCTCTGGGAATACAGGGCACTTACCTTTCACAAGAGTAATTATCTAGAGAAAGATATAACCTTCCCCCCACCCCCCACCAGTATAACATAAATCATGGCCTCCAAAGTATTTGTTTGCTGAACGCCACAATGACTAATCACCCCATTTTTATTTATCCTCCCTGCTAAGGGAACCTCATGGGGGGAGGGGGGAATAGGTCATTTTTAAGTAAGGTCGCTGCTAGGATTGGAGGTTAGACTCCCATTTAGTCATAAAAGAAAAAAATACCCTCAAAACGTATCTCCTAAAAATAGAGAGAAGCGCAAATTATCTTATCAGAAACTCGTATCATTACATAGAAAAGAAAGTCTTAAAACAGATCATTCAGACGTGGCAAAATGCTCTTGATTGATTTTTCTGAAAATGTCAAAATCAAAAACAAATACTATTAGGAATATCAACTACACAACAAAACAGGGTAAGGAACTTACTTTGTAGTGCATATTCATTTAGGAAAAAAATGTTCTCCTGGGGAACGTATGGTGCTCCTGTGCAAAAACCCAACCTACAGAGTGCAGTGGCTAAAGAAACTCCAGAACTGCTAGACCTTGACAGGAAAAATTTTAAAGGTCAGGTTTGTTTGTTTGTTTTAACCCTATTTAGCACAACACTTGGGGTAGGCCGGTGCTCTAACGCCTGAGTAAAACCCGGTTTGGGGCTTCATTTCACTGCCACGTCATCGCTTGTCCCGTCTATCCTTGTCCCTTCTGCTTCCTCACAGTGGTCCTCCCTTCCTCTCCCGTGAAAGCAGCTAGTGAACTTGCACTAGTCTCACAAAGGGCAGAACACACGGCAGAAAGTGTGGTTCCACAACAAGCATCCAGCAGCAGATAAGACAATGAAGTGCTTCCCCAGGGGAGCATCAGAGACGGCCCGGAGGCCTTGAGAAACCTTGCTCTGAGTTCGTGTCCGGGATAAGACCAGAATAAACAGGTATAAGCAGGGACAGACCAGAGTGCTGAGCAGGTTTTTAAAAAAGGAAATCCGTACGACGGTCTAGGAGCAAATCAACGTACTATTAGAGCTAATCAGAAACCTCCATGCTTACATAAAAATGCATGTAAGTTTGGGGAGTCTGTGGTTTGAACGCAGGTTTCTCAAGTAAAAACACGAGCTGTTTTTACTTGAATTGGTGGTCTTATTATCTAATTGTCATCAATTCTAGAAAAAACCAGAAGTTGTTCTAACACATGAACAGGAAGAAGAACACAAACAAAACAGAGCCTAGAAACACTGTTCAACTCACAAAGCAGGAAGTGACAGCTCATATCCATCCCACCTTGCACAAAGCCTGCCTTCATGCGTTGTTGAAATAACCCCAAGATGCCCCTCTAGGACTTAAAACAGCCACTGGGTTTCTCGTGAAAAAGCACCCTGGGATGAGCACGCTCATAGTAGTCAGCAAAACGGGGTGCGCCCATGGGTCTTCTGCCTCATACTCCCTTAGAAAACGTTTACTTCCTCTCAAAAGTAAATTATTCTATAGCTTAGCAATTTTCATTTCAATGAGAGGAAAAATGCTTTCAAAAAAAAAAAAAAAGGAACCGCCATCAGGCACGCCTGTTCCAGGTTAAAAAGACATTTTCTTGACTACCTTAACTGGAAAGAATCCCAAGCGCTTCAACAGGGTCGGAGGTTTGCATCATGGTGTCCGGCTGGGTGTCTGCTAGAAGTTCAGCAGATTTTGTGGTTCGCTCTCTCCAACGGAACAGTTCCAGCCCCGTTTTAATCTTTCCTTCAAGCCTGCCATCTCCTGCTTTCCCGATAACCTGCCTTAGGACAAGACCTACCAGTTTCTGCAGAGTGTGCTGGCCTGAGCATAGGACACTGGGTTCTGTTCCCAATTTGCCACTGTGTGACCTTGAGCAAGTCCTATGACTTTCCAGGACTCCTGCTGCCCTAGTTGGAGTGTGAAGAGGCTGGGCTAGCTTATTTCTAAGGTTCTTTCTGGCCATAAAATATGAAAATCATAATTCCCTACCTCCCACTTTGTCACCTATTGATGGACTCCTAGCCAGCCTCGATCTTTCTGTAAGAATCTTCTTATCCTCCAAAGCAGACAATCCCTCCCACCCTTAAATTCAGGCACTCGCCTCAGAAGCGTGCGAGGTAAAGCCAGTGTCCAAAGTCTGGCTAGTACTAGGGTATCAGACAACAGGAGGGAGCTTTGAAATCGGGGCCCCCGGAAGACCTCAGGCATGGAGTTTATCATCTGCTTGTCACAGCTACCCAGCTTTTCTGCTGGACAGGAAACAGAATTATTGTACCCTAAAGCTGGAAAGAACCCTAACGATCACTGAGCCAAACCTCTGGTTATAGGTGAAGAAACCAAGCCAGCAAAGTTTGATTTTCTTTCCCAAGGCTGCAGAGTGGGGCAAGGGAACAGGCCCCAGGCCTCACGGCTGCTCTCTCACACGCAGGTCTTTTAACCTCCCTCTGCAGGTCTCTGTTCTCTTTCCCTCACCCCTGCAGACTTCCTCAGGACCTCAGAGGGTAATCAACAAACACTTACTGAGCACCTCTGGGCAATTCCCCCAAGGAATGCTTTTAAACTTTCAACTGGCCACTCTGAGAACATTTAGCCAGGCACAGGGACAGTGGCAGCTCTAGCGAGACATAAAATGATCTTATCAGTGCAGAAATCCATTGGTGTTTTGACTCTAAAAGAAAATCTTGCAGCAGCACATAGATGGTAGATAAAGACAGGTGAGGGAAGATAAGGAGGCCCCACAGGGCGGAGTCCTGCTCTGGTACCTGGCACATAGAGTTGATATTTATTGAACAAATTCAAGTTTGCATATTACTTCTACTCTACTAGCTTCTTGTAAAAAATGCTGAGGTTACAATAATACCAGGGACAAGGGTCTCTAAGTCTCCAGGCTAAAATAAAGAACAATGATCTATTGCATACTCGCAGTATGTGGCTGGGGACACATGGGTGTGGAGAGAAGAGGCAGGACTTTGGAGTCAGATAAGACCCCAGGGTGTGAAAATCTCACCTCTACAACACTGGCTGCATTACTGGGCCTCTTTGCCTCAACTGCCACTACACTAGGTTTTTATGAGCTTCTAATAAGATGGTTGAGATAATGCACATAAAGTGTAGCACTGACTCCATGAAAGTCAGTTCTGTCTTCTGTTGGGAACTATGGGTACAGACAGAGAAACCCGTTTCTAGACAAAGCTCCAGGACATCAGCAGTCTCTTCCAAGAGAAGCAAACCATCAATGGAATGCCAGCAACATTATAAAATAATTCAGTATAGTTTTTATAAATATGTTCCCGTTAAGTCATCTGATTTTTAAATTATGTACAAGGAGCATAAAGCACAAATCAATATACACAAGTAAATATGTTTCATATCCTCCATACACAGTTTAAACACCAAACATGTATGTATGTTTCAGCCCTTTCCTATGAATAAGCAGAGAGCTAAGGCTAGGAGGAAAAACAGGATAAATTATTTTCCGATAAGATGAGGCTGAGATAGATAAACAACATGAACTAGCCTCAAAATTATGATTCCAAGATGCAGAGAACGAGGGAAATACAATATGACAGACGTTTTTATCAGCCAGAAGACACAGAGTCAGATAGACAAATGCATTAAAATAGTTTTAATGGCATGACTGTGCAATGTTGCTACTATTAAATATATTAACGGTAACAACATTCAAAGTTACATCCATTTTGTAAACTCTGAGCACTTACACAACAGGAAAAGAAACAGTTGGAGGCTGTGTGTCACCCAGAACTGCTGTGGATACAGAGCAGACAGCGATGGTGAGTGTGATAACACCACCATTCTTTATCTGGGATCCATTTGTTTGTATCTTATCACAAATATAATCCGTAAACACTAATGATACACATATAAAACTTTTGAGCATAGACATGGCTTAATAGAAATTGGATTTGAAATCAGCATATCAAGTCTCAAGTTTATCCCTTCCTAGCAACTGGCAGTGACTGTTTAACATGAAGATTACCAGGGCCCCATCCCAAATCCACTGGATTAGAATCTATGTGCCAGATGCCTGGGAACCTCCATTTTAGTCAAGTTCCACAGATTGATTCTTATCCATATTAAACTGTAGGTCACTTGAACTATGACAGGATAGATGAGCTACAGTGGAAGGTATGCTCTTTCCGTGATAAAATTTAGACATTTAAAATGAGTCATAAAGATAAGGCTTTGTGTATAGATGCACTTTATGTAGAAATTTTCATACCTATACAAGGTTGTAAGGGGAAGGGAATCAGCATTTATTCATTGCCTACTATGCTACTATGCTATATACTCTGACCAAATTATACATTACTCGATCTTCAAAATAATCCTATTTGAGTTATGGGTGGAAAAAGTTAGGCTTAGACAGAAAGTAACTTTTCTGAAGTCACAAGCCTGGAAAATGGCCCAGTGCGGTTGTGAAACTAGATTTATCTAACCCCAGTCTTCTCATTCCATTGTATTAAGCTCATATGCCCATGAAACACACACACACACACACACACACACACACACACACACACACACACACACACTCACTCACTTTCACATCATAAGATAGCCATAAGGTAGAAAGGCAAAGGAATTAAATTACTTTTAGAAACCTTTTACTTCAACAGAAATATACTTTGTAAAGAACTTATTGTATGAATAGTCTTTGGTCTATCTGCTGACAAAAGAATAAAGTGTATGACTACTATCAAAACCACATTTAACAGCCTGAATTTTCATAATAAGAAGCGTATTTTGAGGCTTGCTAGGGTCAAATTTAACACTGATTCTTGATTCACACAAGCTGCAAAGTTTTCATTCTGCAAGTTATATTACCTTACAAAAGAAAACAACAAATATGTGATCTAGCAATTATCAATCCGATGGCCATCTTGGGCCATCCCCCCCGCCCCCCCCAACATCTGACACTCCAGGTACCCTCCACTGGGAAACCCCTTTCTGCTGGCTTCTGGAGTCACATCCTCTTGTGGTTCTTCCTTGCTCTCTGGCCAGACTTCTCTCTAGATCCTCCCTAGGTCCTTCTTTCATTTCCCCATAAGGCTCTATTCTCAACCTATACCTCCCTATATAATCTCTCTCTGGAAAATCTCTTCTCCCACCTCTTGACTTATTTATATCCCAATGACTCCCAAATTAGTCCTGGCCTTTCTATGGAGCACAAAGACCCAAGCTGTCTGGGAGACATCATACTTCAAACTCAGCACCTCTCAAATGTAGCTCCTCACCTCCTTCCAAGTTTCCTGCATGGGTACCATACTCAGCTGTTCCTTCTCTACTGAGATGTCAGATTGTGTCACTTCTTTCCTTTGCATCTATTCTTTTGCCATTTCACTGCTATCACCCATGTTAGGCCTTCCCTCCACCCTTTCCCTTGGTGGACTGTGGGAGCCTTCTAACTAGTCTCCCTGTCTCTGGTTTCTGCCCTGCCTTTCCTCCCGATATCCCCATGACGCACAGCCATGACAGTTTCCTGTTCAAATATCTCCAATGGCTCATATTGCTTCGTACATTCATATTTCTCAGCTTGGCATTCAAGACCATTATTATTCGGCACCAGATGTTCTCCAGCTTTTTTTCCCACTTGATGTCTATATAGACCAGTTCTGACTCAACTGGGCTCACTACCTTTCCCTGAATATGCTCCATGCTTTCCTGTTCTCCTGCTATCCCTTCTATCTCAAATGCCTCTTTCCCTTCTCTTTGATGGAAACTCCACATCCTTCAAGGACTTGCTTAAATGCTTTCCTCAAGAAAGAGTCCCTAGAGGTAAAAGGGACCTCTTCCTCCTCAAATTGCCAACATTTTTTTTTTTTTGGTATTTACCACACAGTTATTTTTGCATACTTTATTTCCTTACCTACAAAACAGGGTCTGAGAGGGAAGAAACCAGATCTTTTTGCTGCTGACTCCTCCATTCTCTCTAGCACAGTGTCATACTCATAGTAGGTAATCAATATTTGCTGTATAACATTTATAGGGCTTCTAAAAGTTTACAAAGCATATTTACATTCAACATCTCACTTGTTCTATTTGGAGCTTAAGTTTACTACAAGTAGCATTGAAGACTTAGTTTGATTTCTGTTGCTGAATGTAATTACTGGCATTATCTCTAACTATGCCCTGTATCTATGCCCTGTAAAATTAAAGTAGCTCTTAAATTGCTTTACTTTTGAACACTCATAGTCCTGTGTGGCCTAAAGTGAAGAGGACAGAACACTCTGAGTCAAAGGAAGCCCACTTGCCAAACTGGTTCTTTTTTTCTCTGTCTATAGGTTAAGTACATACAAATAAAAGGCCTCTACTGGCCGATGACAGTAACAGCAAAAGCAAAATTTAAAAGAGGAGTTAAGAAATTCCTTTCTGAAGATTTTGAAAAAGATTTTCCTATATATCCAGTTGGAATCCTATTTATGGGTCAGTCTCCAATGTCCTTGGAGCTGATATCCTAGCATGTTAACAACAGAAAAATCTCTAACAGTTGAACAATAATTCCTTGCCAAGAGACTGAATCTGACCAATGTCATGATGGAAAAAGCATAGCACTATGTTTGGTCTTGAATATCCAAGTGCCTTGTAGGAGCTCGATAAACATTTGCTGAATGAACACATAAACAAATGTACTTAGAGAAGACCTTCCTATTGAAAGTATAATTTTTCATAGATGGATGGCAGGAGATGTTAAATTTGAAAAACGTCAAAAATTGCATTGAGGGGCAAGAACTGTGATATGTCAACTCCTCCTGTGACAGATCCCACTCTCAATGCTGGAGAAGCAGGTAAAAGAGGGGTGAACATCAGGCACTGCCTATTAGACTACGCTTCTTTGGAGTTTAGGTTGCAAGCTCCTCCGAGGCAAGCACTTCACCTTGAACTCTGTGATCCTAGCACTGTGCTTTTGCACACAGAAGGTGCACCATAAGCATAGTATGAGATGCAAAGACCTCCATGACCTGCCTGCGCATTTTCACATTTCAGTCCTTCACATCTAGTCTTCCTTATCTCGTAGGGGTATTTTGAGGAATAAAAAAAAAAATACAACACTTAATCCCTTAACACACTTACACACACACATACACACACGCACACACAACTGCTTGATAAATAGTAGTTGTTACTGTCATTATCTGGGGCTTTGTATGTGCCTCAAAGGTAGTGTTTAGTGGGCTGGGCTGTCAGCACTTGTCTGCACAAAATGCAAGTGTTCTGTGGGGTGGGCTCTTCACCTGTCTATCCTGAAGGCCTAGCACAGTGCTCATCCCACAGCCTGAGGCTGGCTGCATGACTGAGCGAATGATAGCCAGGTTGCAGGCCTGCCTCTAGCCCAGCCCACTGGGTCACCCTGAAGAGTCATTTAAATTCTCTGGGCCGCAGTGATGTCTGACGGCCCTTCCAGCCTAGAGAAGCTAGCGATCTAGAAAGAGATTTACAGAAGCTCCCCAGACAGTCACTGGCAGAACTGGAACGAGAAAACAGTTGTCCTGGAGCCTGTTCACTTAGTTCCCCCTTCTTCATGGCCTCACATGCCATGTCTCCTTAGTAACAGTTCACTTAAATATCATTGTCTCTTTATAATTCCCAAACCTGGCAAAATGCTAGGACAAATCATATGCCCCTTGGGAGGCCTTCAGTCCCTCAAAATCCCCATTTCCATTTCATGTAGGCTACAGAGACTTGCAAGTTCAGTTACCTCAGGTAGACCAGACCAGCCTTGACAAAGTTAGTTTCTCGTGCTTTGGAAGAAATCACTTGGAAATCCTTGGTTCTGAGTCCTCCATTTCCTCCACATCAAGATCTAAAAAAAGAAAAGAAAAAGCGCAGTGTTTCAAGATTAGCTGCCAGGATTCGATGCTTCAGCCACAATAATAATTAGCCTGTGTTTTGAACGCCTACTATAAGTCAAGCACTGAGTAAAGTGATTGACAGGTGACCTCATATAGGCTTCATAATATGCCTCAAATATAGGAGATATTCCCCCACTTTACAGCTACACAAAAAGAGGCTCTGAGAGGTTACGGAATCTTCTCAAGGTCACATGGCGAGGTTATGTTAGATCTGGGTCTTAAACCCAGGTTCTATTAATTCCAAAGCCTGGGTTATTAACCTGTAAGTCAGGGTTTTACAAACTTCTTTGACAGTGACCCACTGTTTTTAAAAATTACATTATATAAACAATCCCCAAAGTCTCAAAAAATGTTTACTCGTACTACATGCAATACATTCTGATATTTTCTATTCTATTTGATTTTTTTCTACACTGCATTATTCTATACCTTTTTTAAAATTCCAATAGTAACCCATTAAACTAATTTCACAATCTTCTAATGGGTCCCTACTCTTGCTGGAAAAACACTACACTTAGATATAGTACCTCACAAGAAGTTTCTCTGAAACCACGGACTAAATCCTCCCATGCTTTTAAACCATGACAACCTGACTGAGTAGTTGAGCTTCATAATTAGGAGAAAAGTCTTTAACCGTTAAAATATGTATAAGGCACCGTAACGCATATCAGCTATAACGGATCTTTAAAAGGGATATTGAATTAGGGCCAAAGTCCAGAATGAAATGAGTCACTTACCTGTATAGCAGAGCAGGAGTTATCAAGTGGAAACGCGGACGGACTAAAATTTAAGGTGATTTATTATACACCCTGCAAAGAAGTGGCTAACAGCGGGCGGTTGTGTTGTGCCAACTGAGCAGACCTACCTAACCATACTGCAGAAGCAGGAGGCTGAGACTGCGACCCCCTGGGGGCAGGGCCCTGCTTTTGCATGTTCCATTCAATTCCAGGGTCATGGTGCTGAACCAGGGAAATCATCAGGTTCCAGTAGGGTCAGGCCTGGGGTCCGAGTCACAGTCGCGGGGGAAGAGGAGGTGCGACCGTCGGAGCGGTTCCGGGGCCCATTGGCCCCGAGCCCATAAAGTCCCTGGGGTGCGCATTTCTCCCCCGCCCCCCCCCCGCCCTCTAGCACAGCTGCGCAGTTGGGCCACTAGATGCAGCGCAACCTGCCCGACTCTGCAGTTGAGCACCCCCCCCCCACTCCGGCGCAGGCCCCGGAGCCCGGGCACCTGCGGGCGCTTGGTCCCTGCAGCAGCTCGTCCCTCCAGGGCTGGCGGAGCTCACAGCCCTGCGCCAGGGCTTCCTAGCCAGGTTTCGAGGCTCCCTCCTGGGGAGAGGAGGGGCGGGCTGGCCGCGCCCGAGGCCCCGCGCCCACAGGCCGTGCCTCGCCCACCCAGCAGCGCACACAGACCCTACGACTGGCACTTACAGGGTTCGACTCCTCCGCTGCGAGCGCGTTTCCCCCGGGGGTCCATGGCGCTTCCGGACCCGCCAGGCCCGCCGCCGCGCCGCGCCGCACAGCACCGCCCAGAAAATGGACGCCGGCGGCTGGGCTTTGCCAGCCCGGCCCGCCCCCGGCGCGGGGCACAGGACGCGGCCCGTCCGAGAGGAGGTCGGCTCGACCCTCAGCCCGCGGGCAGGGGCGCCAGGGGACCTGCCGCGCTGAGGATAAGGCCTCGGGAGGGCCGCGGCGGGACCCAAGGGGCCCCACGACGGCCCCGCGAGGCTCCAGACCCCACCAAGCGGGCAGTGGCCTGCGCCTCCACCTTCTCCCGGGAAAACACAATTCAGAACCTGCGGAAGGACAACCCACTTAGGTGTCTACAGCCACTATCAGAACAAGGCCTGGGTCTGCAGGGGGTGGCCCTGGGTTCCGGACCCACATCCCAGACAGCATCCAAACCCTGCACATTTGTGAGAGGCAGGATTCAGTGAAAAGTCAAGTGCAGTTTTAATTTAAACAAATTCTCAGGAATTAGGGTGTCACCTGCTCTTTCCCATAGCTGTCAGGAGAGGCCTAGATTGATTTTCCCCCACGTGATTTTAGATTGATTTCACGCAAAAGACCCAGTCCGCTTCTTTAAATAAAGGGCACTGACTGCCTATTAGGATCTTTCTTCCAAGACCCAGGGACCGCTCATAGAAAAAGTATTTACTGAGGCCTGCCACAAACTCGCGTTGTAGAGCACTAACGTACAGGTTTTATTTGCTTGTTTTTAAAAACCATCCATGTGCCCTGTGTTTTGGTAGTATGAGTCTTATTTAAAATTTTTCTTTAGAAAGGATTCACTCCCAGGTTACAACTTGAAAGGATAGAAAGTCTGTTCTTTGCTCAACTTACATCCTGTTTTTAGCTTGGAGGACCGTGTTTATAATTCTGCATCCCAGTTCCTGACCATGTTTTTAAGAATGTGATCATTTTGATGAATAAAGTAGATTCCAATATTACATACAAAAAAAACAGTAAAACTTCTTGTATTTAAATAAGGGAAAATATATGGACTTGAAGTCAAATTGAAGGATCATGCAATCAAAAAAAAGACAAGGCAGGGTTTTGAAGGCTGGCTGGTTGGGCGACATGCATACACATGTACACCAACAGTTCCCAACATCCTCAAAGCCGAGCAAGCGCCTTTCATTCTCTCTCTCTCTCTCTAGGCCACATGTTTAGAAAGATCTATCCCACTAAATTGCATTTATTAACTAATGATTCATCTTCCCACTTAAAAAAACAGCGACCCTGCGATGTTTTTGTGTATGTAACTAACCGTCAATTAGGGCTTCTGCAAAACCTGAGCTAACCTGTTGTAAATCGTGGATTCCGACCTAAAGAAACTTGTAGTCTCATTGCAAGTTTGCGCGTTTCCATTGAGGCTTTTGGAAACTGAAAATCATTCGGACCCCCAACAAAACTCAGGCTCACAAATTAGGAACCATGGGCATTGCTCTCTCTACTTCCCTGAGATTGGAAGGTAGGAAGTGGTAGAGCAAATTTGGTCTTTGGATTCTGCCTGCCTGGGGTTAAAGCCCAGCTTTGTCACTTACAAGGTCACTCACTAAGTAACTTTAGGCAAATTACCAACTTCCCTGAGCCTTAGCTTCCTCATCTGTAAAATGGGGCTAATTTTAATATTATGCTTACCTCGTAGGGCTTTTTGATAATTAAATGGGATAATAACCCATGAAGCATCTACAATAGTCCCTGGCACTTAGTAAGTGCTCTGTAAGTAAGCATTTGTGGCTATGAGTGCAGGAAGTCAAGTATTTGGATCTCTAAGTTCCTACAGCTCAAGCGGTAAGAGTCATAGCTACTTGTGTAAAGCAACCTTTATACTCTAGAAATTTTCCATGAGTTAGCTGCCAGGGTCACATGGTGAATGACATAAAGGGATTTAAACACAGGTCTGACTCCACAGTCCACTTTCTGTGCTGCTAACATGTTCCAAGGTGGTACCTTGATCAAACGCTGTCAACAGCTTGTTAAGGGTGAAATCGGCTCTGGCTTTCTTTCCTAAGAGGCTTAGCAAATGAATGGCTCCTCACATCCACTTGGGAATTTACAAACAGTGGCATTTCTTTCTCATTAGAGCTAAATGTTTCTCCAGAAGCAAGTAGATTTCCCCAAATTGTTATTAATAACTAAAATATCGTGGCAACAGTTTTAAACACCACAGCCTAAAACTTACATAATCAGCCTGTCCTTCAAAATTTTCCACCCTTCCTCTTAACCAGTCACAGATTCTCTCTCTTAATCATTCTTCTGACTATGGGGAACTATCTGGAAATTTCCAGGAACATCCCAAACTTGTCATAATTTTATGCTTTTCTGGAAAGGTTTATTCTTTTCTGGAAAGGTTTATTCTTTTCAAAACAACTAAATGTGATTTATTTTTCTATATCTTGGTAATGCTTTTCATTTTAATGCTTTTCATTTTAATACATTTGCTAATGACCAAAAAAAAAAAATCCTAAGACTTTCAAGATTCTTTCCTCTCTTCTTAAATTTCTACCAGTTCTTCAACATCCCCACAGCATGGCTCCTGATCCTTTTCCAGTGGTCTTTTTAGGAGGCATTTCTCATTTTTCTAACTCATTTCTTTTCATCTCTATAATTTCCATTATGCTACAACTACCTGCTTGTACATTCTGATTTAGGACTACTGGCCAATTTAACATTTACTGCCCCTCTTCTTTTACTTTTAAAAAAAATTTTTAATATTATCATAATATATAAAAAGATTTAAATGTCTCTATTAAACCCACTTGCTTCCTCTGTTTCCCGCCAGTGGGTTAGGAATCTGTAACTCATTGCCTCCCATATTTGCAGCACTCTGAATTTAATTTATTGTTTTACTTCTCTTCTCTCTTTCCCTCATCCTGGGCACTCACCAAAGTCTATCACTTGACCTCCCCTTATGTGGCTGCCTATTATCTCTTTCCTTTCAAGCATTTTATGAAAGTCCCTGTCCAAGTCATTTTTTCTAATCTCCTCCGCATTCCTGAAAAGCCTCTTGTGGTGTTGTGTTGAGAAGTCTACTAAAGCCCCTGAAGAGGCAGTGTTTAGAACGGGGGTGTCAACTTCCAAAGCTCATGGGAGCCAGGCAGGAAGTAATGTGAATTGGGGCCTACAGCATAATCCATGTTCCACGGAAATGGGGCGTGGGGGTGGTCACAACCCAGCTCCAGACCAACTGTTGCCAGCTGGGTATGTCAGCTCTGCAGAATTTTCCAATGAAGCCCAAACCGGGATTTTTGTATAAAATATATGAAATGTCGACTACTTAAAAAACAAAAAGAATCTGAATCTGATCAAGTCTCGAGCTATAACTACCAATTTTCAGGAAACCTCTGAGATAGGGGAACATGTAAAACAGCACCAAGGAATGCAATCATTAAATTTCAGATTGTGGGAAATCTGTCGAGTCAAACAAACCGTTTCTTCAACAAAATTT